CCCGAGGGCCAGTCCCGGCCCCAGCTCTCGTGTTTCGGCTGGAAACCCCAGCCGCGCTGGGAAGGGGGGCGTGAGACCATTCCCACCTCTTCTCCAGCAGAGCCCCGACCCTCGGAGGAAACAACCGCCGGCCATTTCCAGTGTCGAACGGTTCTTGGACAAAAGTAAAGATCGCAGAAAACCAGCCCTCCTCGCACGTTTAATTTAACCACAATTCAGCAGGAATTGACTGCCTGGCATGGGGAAAGAAACGAAGCAGAAGCCCCTGGAGACCCCAGGCTGCTGGCTCCTTCCTTGAATGAGAGCCCCCGTGATTTGAGCCTCCCCCACCACCTGCACCCCGGCTCTGAGCCCCCAGGCAGTTGCCTGTCGAGTGAGACTCCAGCCGAAATGGCAGTTAGGGCTGGGGAGTCACATCCAACCCCCCCCACACCCCCACCATCATCATGCTAGCCCAAGAGCCCTAAACAGGGCTCTGCAGCCCCGGGGGCCTTCAGCCTCACCCAGACACGGGAGTGTGGCCGTTCATGTACCTCCGACGGGACCCCGCAAATCCCCGGGGGCTGACGTCCCCTCCAGTTGCGGAGAACCTGAGTAGGGTTCTGGGTCTGAAGCATTAAAGTCACTGGCAGGATGGTTGGAAATGGTCGTGGAACCCATCCAAGGTCATCTGGGGATATGAAACACGGTTTCTTTGCAGCTTCTGTATTTCCCAGCTCCCTATTTTTTGTTTTTTTTTGTTAGTTGGAGTCTCACTCTGTCACCAGTGGAGTGCAGTGGCCGCTTCCAGCCACCGCAGCCTCGACCTGCTGGGTTCCGGCGATCCTTCCGCCTTAGCCTTCCGAGTAGCTGGAACTACAGCCGCGTGCCACCATGCCCGGCTAATTTTTTTGATATATTGTAGAGATGAGGTCTCGCCAAGTAGCCCAGGCGGGTCTCGAACCCGCGGGCTCAGGCAATCCACTCACCTCAGCCTCCCAAAGCGCGGGATTACAGGCTGAGCCCCGAGCCCGGCTGCTCACGGTTTTATATGCTTGTTTTCCCAGTGCAGACATGAGGGCACACGTCCCCCAAACACCTTTCCACATGGTCAGCCGCAAAAGCCCAGACGTCACTTTGCAGACAGCTGCGTGGTGGCGAAATGAGCACTGCAAGGATGAGGAGGCACCCGTGTTGGAATGCCTCGCGATGAGTCGGGCGAAGGCGGGCAAGGACCTGCAAGTACTTGTTGCTGGCTAAGTCTCCTTCAACTCATCTGTTGCATCGATGTCTACTCCCTCCCAGCACTGAGGTGTCATCCCTGCTCTACACTAAGGGCACTAGGAAAAGCACCGGGCTCGGGGGAGATGTGTCCACTGAGTGGCTTTATCCCACTCTGCTGAACACCCCACCCCTTGGACATCTCCCATCTCGGCCTGTCCTCTGGCTTCATTTTTCACATGCCCAAGACACGGCTCAAAAATGTCTCGGCTGGGCGCAGTGGCTCATGTCTGTCATCCCAGCACTTTGGGAGGCTGGGGCAAGAGGATTGCCCCAGAGTTCGAGACCGGCCTGGACAACATCACAAGACCTCATCTCTATGAAAAAAAATACACACATTAGCTGGGTGTGGTAGTGCACACCTGTAGTTCCGGCTACTGAGAACGTTGAGGTGGAAGGATGGCCTGATCCCAAAAGGTAGAGGCTGTGGTGAACCGTGCTTGTGCCACTGCCCTCCAACCTGGACAATAGAGTGAGCCCCATACTCAAAAAACAAAATTCTCTTTTGAAGCATCTCGGAATCTCTTAGGAAAGGAAGATGTTCTCCAGCCCTTTGTTCATATTTCTGTGCAGTTCCCACCCTCTCATGAGTTGGTTTCCGTGCTGGTCTCCCCACTGCCATGATCACCTCCTAGCAGACACCAGCCACGTTTATTCCTGTATCCTGCCTGAGGATGCATATTTGAATGGCTGTAGATAAATCATTTACTTGTGTGATGAGCTGTTGTTTTAGATCTCAAGCCACTTATTTCCTCAGCCTGGAGGTAACAGAAAGAAGTCAGTTACTTCAAACCAAAGCCATTGGGTTTCCAGGCCACAGAGCAGCAGAGATGATTTCGTGAGACCTACACAAGACTTAGGGCCAGGTGGCCTGTGTATGCATAAGGGAAAGGGAGTGAGCTCTTCCGATCTCTAAGCCTCGGTTTCCACATCTCTAAAATGGGGATAATTATCCCCACCTCATAGGATGGTTGGAACCATCGAGGGAAGAGTGGGCGTGAATGAACTGTCTCAGCTCTGGGAACCTAACCTGTTCACATCCATGAATGAGCTTGCTTCCCGCACCTGGTTCCCATTTTGGTCCTGAATTCGGGAATGACCGCAAATTCTCTGGGATGCTGGAGCAGTTGGGAGCAGCGTCCCATTCGGGGACTTTGGGAAAGAGCTCTTCTCAGCATGAGGAGGTCAAGTATCGGGTATCAAAATACAAAACAGAAGGAAAACAAAAACTAAACTAACGCCTACATTTTAAAAGTGAAAGCAAGCCAGACTTTTATTTATAATATTGAAGACTATAAGTTGGTTCACCATGCAGGTAGAGTTCAATAAATCAGAGAGAATGAGATGGTGGAGGAAAAATAAGGGGTCGGAAATGAGGTTCCCATTATGAGCCTGTTATGAACACAATGCTAGGCATTTTCACATACATCCCGTCAGTTGACTTTCACAACACCCCCATTTTCACAAAGGAGAGCTAAGAACTGGGCGTGCGGTCACGTGGGCTCAGCAGTGGAACATGGGTTTGTTCTGCCTCTAAAGTCTGGGATTTTCCACTATGGGGTTTTCAGAAGGGACAGACTCCAAGGGGGTCGGCAAGTCAGCATTGATCTCCTGGCAGGGAAGAGGCCGGGAATGTCAGTGTCAGACCCTTCTGAAGTCAGGGCTGAACTTCTTCAAGCTCTGCCTTTTTGGCAGTTTGGACCAGTCAGCTTCTGAGGGGTCAAAGTCCATGTTTTTGAAGCCACAGCCACACCCCACATGTGCGTCATCAAAGATGATGGCCGAGTCCAAACCCTTCCACTCTTGAAAAAACAACTGGAAAAGTCTGCACCCTGATGAGGAACATTAGCGCTTAATGTGGATGTGGAAAGAGAACACGTTTTTCAATGTAAGAGCTTGTCTGAGAGGGTAAACCGGCAACGGGGAAAGCTGGCGAGAGCTTAGCTAGCCTGTGACTGATGGGACAATCTTCCTTTTTTCCTTCCAGATGTCACAGTGGATCCTTGGTCTCCAGGGCCCACTAAGGTGAGAATAAGACCGTTGGGCTGGTTGGAACTAGCCTGAGACTGAAAAACAGCCATAGAAATGGCGGATGAGCCACTCAATGGGAGCCATGCCTGGCTGTCCTTTCCATTTGATCTCAATGGCTCTGTGGTGACAGCCAACAGCTCAAACCAGACAGAGCCCTACTATGACCTGACGAGCAACGCGGTCCTCACGTTCATCTACTTTGTGGTCTGCATCGTTGGGCTGTGTGGCAACACCCTGGTCATTTACGTCATCCTCCGCTATGCCAAGATGAAAACCATCACCAACATCTACATCCTCAACCTGGCCATCGCAGACGAACTCTTCATGCTGGGTCTGCCCTTCTTGGCGATGCAAGTGGCTCTGGTCCACTGGCCCTTTGGCAAGGCCATCTGCCGCGTGGTCATGACTGTGGATGGCATCAATCAGTTCACCAGCATCTTCTGCTTGACGGTCATGAGCATCGACCGCTACCTGGCTGTGGTCCACCCCATCAAGTCGGCCAAGTGGAGGAGACCCCGGACAGCCAAGATGATCAACGTGGCTGTGTGGGGCATCTCTCTTCTGGTCATCTTGCCTATCATGATCTATGCTGGGCTTCGGAGCAACCAGTGGGGGAGAAGCAGCTGCACCATCAACTGGCCAGGTGAATCTGGGGCGTGGTACACAGGGTTCATTATCTATGCTTTCATCTTGGGGTTCCTTGTGCCCCTCACCATCATTTGTCTTTGCTACCTGTTCATTATCATCAAGGTGAAGTCCTCTGGGATCCGGGTGGGTTCCTCCAAGAGGAAAAAGTCTGAGAAGAAGGTCACCCGAATGGTGTCCATAGTGGTGGCCGTCTTCATCTTCTGCTGGCTGCCCTTCTACATATTCAATGTTTCCTCTGTGTCTGTGGCCATCAATCCCACCCCAGCCCTCAAAGGCATGTTTGACTTTGTGGTGGTCCTCACCTACGCTAACAGCTGTGCCAACCCTATCCTGTATGCCTTCTTGTCTGACAACTTCAAGAAGAGCTTCCAGAATGTCCTCTGCTTGGTCAAGGTGAGCGGCACAGATGATGGGGAGCGGAGTGACAGTAAGCAGGACAAATCCAGGCTGAATGAGACCACGGAGACCCAGAGGACCCTCCTCAATGGAGACCTCCAAACCAGTATCTGAACTGCCTTGGCAGGGTGCGGAGAACAAGCCAAGCTCTGCCTACTGGCAATGGGCTCCCTACCCGCACCCCTCCCACCCATCACACCGGCTTCTAGAATAGGGGTGGCTCCGCATGAGTCCAACTCTGAGAACAGTGTTTGAGTTGACTTCCCTGATTGAATGATAATGTATTAAACTGATCACCCCCCCCCGAAAGTGACCATTTGAATGCAGGCAGTCAATTCAAAGTCTGGAGGGGAGGAGATCGTGCCTGAGTATGATGTTTAGAAATGCTGATGCTCCACAAAAATAGAAAAAAAGTACAGTATCTGTGTGTGTGTTTGTGTGTTTAAAACCCAGTATGTAATCTTGTGTTCTTATATTTATACTTGTATATTCCTATTTATTCTCTGTATAGTCGTTACCTGCGTTCCTGTGTTGACATGCACAAGTGGCAAGTTCAAGTGTGCATAGTACGGGTGGACATTCACAACACCTGTGGAAATGGACTTACCGTGAAACCAATAAAGTTTAAGCTGCAGGGATCTCTCTTGCATGGGCCTTCCCGAGGCACAGGAGAAACCTGGGCAGTGTGTTCTCATGGTCATATGTTTTTGTAAAAAATTGGAAAAGTAAGAATTTTTTATTATTTTGCTTAAAGAGGCCCCCTCAGTTGTATAAACTTCCAGCCTCACAGAACCTGACTCTGCCCCTGGGTATTTGCTTCATGAATTTCAGGCAAGTTAGGTCAACATCAGAAGGGAAGGGAGAACACCAACTCATGTTTCCACTTCTCAGATATAATCAAAGAATTATTCATTTGCCCAAAAGGACTTAAGTGCCTGTGGTCATCGATCATTGTATTTATCAAGACAAAGCCAGCTTTGTTACAAGATTGCATTTTTTTCTTCTCAAATTGCTTTAGTTTTTCTTAGGGAACCATGAGGGGGAAAATCACTAATATGAAAGGCAAAAAATGGACTGCGATTCTTGTGGAGAAACCATTTTATTCTCCCCAACGTGAAAATAAATGAATAAGAGCGAAGCAAAAATTACATCTTTATGAGAAACCATGAAATTGTGTTTTTTTTGTTTTTTTTTAATGCCAGACATAGCTTCCTAATGAAGGAAAATGGAAATGTAATTCAACAACTCCTCAAAAGGAGTTTTGTTGAGGACTTTCTGCAAAGCTGGGCATTGGGAAAAACACAATGCATACTAAGACCTGAGGACGTTGTTCATAAAAACATAAGCACACGCATCAGCCGATGAATATGCAGCATGTGGGGGCATTGTGAGTGCTGAGAGATCCCATCCCGCCCGGGTATTGCTATGCCACCTTCCCCACCAACTGTATACATGTTATATCATTAATGCCACAGACCCTCTCGGCTACTCCTCAAGGACTGTTGTGCATAGGCACCAAACACTATAAAGTGGCATTTTTGGGGGTCCCCGAAACTGTCATGTACAAGCCAGAAGAGACAATGCTCATTTCATTGACCAATCACCATTTCCAGAGTATGATAAAACACATGCTTGTTTGCAAGTTTGCCGTCATCTCCGAGTTTTATGTGAGAGCATCATTCTAGTGTCTCACAGATAGGTTTTACCGTATTTAAAAAGTAGCCAGGTATGGTGACTCACACGTGTAATCCCAGCACTTTGGGAGGCTGAGGTGAGAAGATTGCCTGCACCCAGGAGTTTGAGACAAGCCTGGGCAATATGGCAAGAATGCGTCTCTACAATAAATTTAAAATTAGTTGGGCTTGGTGGCATGTGCCTGTAGTCCAGCGACTTGGAAGGTTGAGCCAGAAGGATCACCTGAGCCCGGCAGGTCAAGGCTGTAGTAGCCGTGGACATGCCACTGCACTCTAGCCTGGGTGACAGAGTGAGACGCTAGGGCTGTTTAATGGGCAAAGTGGCTGAGTGCTCACCTGTGGCTATCCTTGTTCAATAAGCACCTTTATTTTATGTAATTCACACCACCTCACTCCCAGAAGGACTTACTGAGGCTTAGAAGAGCGTGTTCAATAATAAATTCATGCAAAAATAAAAAGAGGCACAGTTATAAAGCAAGACTATAGGAAAAATTGTTGCAAAAAAATGTATGCAGCAATCCCACAGCATTCCTAAAGGCAAGATCAGATACAGGGTCAGCTCAGGGCCTCCTAGCAGCCACATCTGGGGAGGGTGACTTTTTGTTTTTTAGAAAAATAAGCAACGATTTGGAAGAAAACACTTTGGACCTAGTGTATGATTATTATAATATGAGATGTGCTGGGGGTCTTTGAATCAATGCTGATTTTTACTTAGGAAAATTATTCCAAGGGACCAGAAACTGGAGAAATAATTTCAAGGCAGATAAGACTCATTCTACAGTATTCTGTGGCCAGAGCAACTCCCTCCAGGGGCATGGGATCCAAAGCAGTCCTCTGCAAGGTGTAGGCATACCCAGGTGTCTTGGGTACTCACCAGCAGACTGGCCATTCTGAGGCTGAAAAGAGATCCATGTTCAACTCCATCCAAATAAGCAATTAGGACCAGGTGCAGTGGCTCATGCCTGTAATCCCAGCACTTTGGAAAGCCGAGGCAGGAGGACTGCCAGAGCTCAAGGGTTTGAGACCAGCCTAGGCAACACAGCGAGCACTCATCTCTATCAAAAAATCAGTTGGACATGGAGGCACATGCCTGTAGTCCCAGCTACTCAGCAGTCTGAGGGGCAAGGAGTGCCTGAGCCCAGGAGGTCAAGGCTGTGGTGAGCCGTGATTGCCCCACTGCACTCCAGCCTGGCTGACACCCCAGACCCCACTCAAAAAAAAAACAAAACAAAAAATAAACTGTTAGGTTTCTACCATAAGGAAGGGTATTCTCCACTTTTTGAAATGTCTATTTCAGAGATGACTTGCTTGCTTTCTTTTTTAAATCCAAAAGAGGAACTAAACATTTTAATTTAAAGGTTAATGCAATTTTAATTCAAAAATTTAATCTTAGCCTCCACTCAACATTTAATTGCAAAGTTAAATCTGCTGGATGCTGAGAGCGAATAAAAAACAATACAGCTCATTGATCTGGGGATATTTGATCATCGGGGTTATGCAAGCTACTACCTACCTTCCAAGGGAAGCTACTGTTTTTCACAGTGGCCTAGTAAAAAAGGTACTGGAAAGATAATATGACGTTGTGGCCCATGATGAATGACATTGGCGTGTGTTTCTGCAATGAGCTGGGTCATGTTGGATGTGGAGATGAAACTTTGGTGGGGTTCATGCCATAGCTTGGAACAATCTAGAAGACAGAAGAACACTGAATGGTGAAATGGCATAAAAAGAGGAAAATATGGGCGGGTGGACGGGGCTTCCAGACCGGGCAGGGGACTGGTGTCTGCTCGCTGACACCAATGTAACCTCTCGGCAACAGGACACGAGTGTTGTTGGCTGAGGCTAGCAGCCCTGCTGCCCTGGTCAGGAAGGCTGTGCTGGAAAAGTGGAGACAGGCAGAAAGTAAACGGCTGTAGAGACACATGGCCCTACTCGGCTCCAAATATGACTATTCCATGGAGACAGTAAAGATACAGTGGCAGGCAGACGTGAACTTGGCCTTGCCAAAGAAAGCCGGCGGGAGATTCATCAAAGATTCCCATTGCTGGTTGGAAAGGTCCGATGAGTGTTTCTGAAACGTGGAACATCCTAAGAATCCCACCGGCAAGCAAGCCAAGCAGTTGAGCTTATGAGCAGTGACTTAAAATCAATCACTTATCTCATCCGCATTTTCGCCAGATTCAAAAACACCGAATTTCCCATCAAATGTTCTATCAGCGCAAACCTTTACTTAAGTGCTTGTTTTGTTTCTAATATGTGAATTTCTGGGAACATTCCCACAGGCACAGTCTCTCTCTCTCTCTTTTTTTTCCTTCAGCAGCTCATCTAGAAAGTAGGCACCAGGGACTGTATTCTACTTACAGCTGAAAAGCTTTTGTAGCTGCTGTTACCCAATTTGGAGGGCCATTAAGGTTGACAATGGCATCTCAAGGACAAGCTCTCACATCTCTCGCCCTCACCGCTGCTTCCAAGGAAGGCCCACCCCTTCTCCTAACTCGGCAGGGACTGGACATGGGAGGATAATCTGGTTTCTTCTTCAGCTGTGTCAGGTTGTATGTAACTGAACTAGGCTAAAAAAAAAAAAAAAAGTTAAATATTAACCGAGACTTAACCAAGCTGCCTACAAAGTTTTATCGATTCTCCTAAGGTTAAAAATGATGAAAATATCATTAAAATGAAATGCTGTGGCTTGATTGATCCCCTGGCTCAGTGAACATATGCCTCCCATTGGACACAGATTTTAGGCTTGAGAGAGCCGATGACACAGCCTAGCTTCAGGTTGGTGGAGTGGGAGTTTATATGGGGAGAGGGACGGCTTTATTTTTCACTTCTTGCTTTCCTGACATTATTGCAATGATGGGTGGGGGAGAAAAGGACACCTCTTTGCTTGGATATTGGTGTTGTTCCTGATCCTGGTAGGCCAGGAAGCAGAAAAGAAGTGTACTGGCTAGAGATAAAATCGCCCTGTCCTTTTAGAAGCGCTTGTTAAGGAACGTGACGCCAAACCTGAAACAGCCCCCACAGCCTTGTCCACGCCAAGGATTCAGTTACTGCTTGAGCCATAGAGAGGGTCTCTTTGCAGGAGGGGGTCCTTGAAGAAATGAAGGCCCAAAATGGATCTTGCAGCCCTAGGGAATGCTGGGGTCTATCTAATAAGACTGCTTCTGGCTGGGCGTGGTAGCTCTCACCTGTAATACCAGCACTTTGGGAGGCCGAGGCGGGAGGACTACTTGAGCCCAGGAGTTTGAGAGCAGCCTGGGCAACCTAACAAGACTGCATTTCTACAAAAAAGAAAAATCAAAAAATTAGCGAGGGGCCAGGCTCGGTGGCCCAGCCTGTAATCCCAGTGCTTTGGGAGGCCGAGGTGAGCGGATTGCCTGAGCCTACGGGTTCAAGGCCCGCCCAGGCAACTTGACAAGACCTCATCTCTACAATAAATCAAAAAAAAGTTAGCCGGACATGGTGGCGCATGCCTGTAGTTCCAGCTACTCAGGAGGCTGAGGCAGAAGGATCGCCTGAGCCCAGGTCGAGGCTGCGGTGTGCTGTTGATCGGGCCATTGCACTCCAGCCTGGGTGATGGAGAGAGACCCCAACTCAAAAAAAAGTAAAGAAAAAAGACTGCATTAGCCCTAGACCCACAGAGAGACACAGTTATCCCACATCCTTACAAAGTGACTAGCACAGGGATCCTGAAGGAAATTTGCTGGTAAGAGAGGAAGACCCGCGGGCAGCTCTCTGGGACGACCTGTCAGCTCACCAGGTGCGTGAAGGAGCAGCAGTGTGCTCCTGGTCCGCACCTCCTCTGCCTCCCAGGTGACTGGGCCCTCGGTTCCTGGGAGGTTCCTGTCCCCAGGCAAGCAGATGCAGATACTTTTCTCACGGGTGTGATTTTTTAGCAAGAAACCCAAATGGCTTATGTAACATAGTCAAGGCTTGCTTGTTTTCTTGACATTAACTGGCATCCCACTGACCCACTTCTCTAGAGACATGGACGATGTTTTAAGGC